TCGGCTGGGGTTATGTCAAAGGTGTTGCTTTGGTTTGAATCCAAGGACATTGGGGAGGGGGCTTGATGTGAGGGGTGTGTAATATCTAAGGAAGAAAAGCTATTTTTTGTAAGTATGCAACCGTTGCTCTCTTTAGTGTTAAGGTTGGAGGAGCCTAGCATTTGACCTAAAGTTTGTAGCCTTGTTGAAGTGACTTCATAGGTTAAGGATGAAATTGGAGTTTGTAGTTTCTTGTCCGTGATTGTCGTGACAGTGTCCTCTTTGTCTTTTGATGGTATAATCCTATTGCTAGATATGGTAGGAAGGGCAGGTTTGTGATCGTTAGTGAGGTGAGGGGTTTTGTCCAGTGGATTGTTCGTGTATTGGGGGTGGTCTTTATCACTAATAGAGGGTCCTATGTTTTGTGTAGTGGGTGTAGTGGCAGGTCTATGGTGTACTAGGGAGCTTGTGGTCATAAGGTTATTACCATAGTGTAGGCTTTTGTCCAGTGGGTAAGAAGCCAGTGGGGATGGAGGCTTTTGTCCAGTGGGTAAGAAGCCATTCTTCTTGCTTGCGTTCATTTCCAGCTGAGGATCACTGTGTTCATGTTGGCTTTGTTCCTTTGTATTATACCGCATGGAGGGGTAGGGATTCGACGTGTTTTTCTTTCTTTTGTGGTGGGATACTATCGTCCAGTTTTCAATTTTGGTGGTGATGGACTCAATGTTTTGTGGTGTTGTCATGGAGTTGCTGGATATGGGTTTGTCATTTTTGGTTTCCGTTAATATTTTTTTGTTTGGGCATGATATTGGATTATGTCCTAGGCGTCCGCAATTGGTACACAAGACATTGAATCCTTCATATGTTACTTTTTGATAGTGTTTGCCTAGTATTATGTGAGTCTTTAGCGGTTTTTCGATTGGAACTAGGATGCATAATCTAGCATATTTTCCCCTAAGAGCTGAGGAGGTACATGCACCAATACGTATAAGTTCTCCTAGCTTATTCCCTATTTTTTGTAGGATTTCGTAGTCGTAAAATTCCGTAGGAAGTTCAGGTAGTCTAGCCCAAATAGCCGAGTATGTTAGTGAAGCTTCCGATGCTACGAATCTAGGCTCCCATTTCCTTATGGAGAGGAATTGATTTCCTATGAACCAAGGTCCCTCATGAAGGGCTTTATTATAGTTTTCTTGTTTGTTAAATTTAATAAGGTAGTAGTCATATCCCAGGTCGATAAGGGAAATGGTTTCACTTGGCTTCCAAATCGCTTGGAGTTTACGTTGAAGGAATTGATATCCAACTCTTTTCCCAAAGACCTTTATTATAAGAGCTGTTTCCCAATTCCTATATAATCTTTCCTTATCTTCAGAGGTTATGGGGATAAAGATATCCGCTTCGTCTTCGAGATAAGGATTTTCCGTTTTATCCGAGGATAGTAGGTCCATTGTTATGTCATTTGTACGCAGATGTTGTTTGTTGGGTTACTATCAGTAGGGCTGGTGTTTAGGATGCTTAGGAAAGAGAGTTTTCCTTGTTGGTGTTGTCCAGGTTCTATGGTTTGAGGAGGTATGGCTATATTTTTGTTCATGTTTATTGGAGCTGAAGTTGAAGAGGAAGGGTTGTTGATCGAGGTATGTTTGGAGGCAGTAGCTCCTCTCACGTTGTTGCTGCTAGATGGTGTTTCCCAGCTGTTTTGTTCATTTGGTGGTTTATCATGGGGAGTGTTGAGGAGCATTATGTAAGTGTTGGGGAGGGAGGAGAGGGATTGTTCTTAGAGAGAGGTGGGAGAGTATCTCTCTCTAACCCATGTTTTTTCTATAAGCACAAACTGTGAGACTTGGGTCTTCACATTTGTCTGATATATAGTTCTCATTACTTAAACAATAAAATAACAAAGACTATCAATACTTAAAATCTGACACCGTGAATTACATAGCATAAAGTCACATATCTATGAGTTTAGTATTAGATTAAAGGTAGAGTAAAAGCAACCAATCTCAAAGATGATTACCCAAAGGAATATTGAGTTACAAATTTTGTAAGCTGCAGACACAATTGCAATTTTTGAACTCGAACAGAAAACCCAAAACTGAAGCTCGATTGGAACGTCGGAAACTCGCCGGAGTTTGAACGGAGACCTTGCTTAAACTCGACTGTTTCTGGGTGTTTTTGGACTGTTTAGGAGTGATCTTCGGGAATGATTTTGGTCCAGAAGGGGTGGGATGGCCACTTCTCTAATGAGAAAGAAGATGGAGATGGATATTTGGTTCTGAAAGAGAGAGCCTAGTCCGTTCTTGATAAGACTTTTTTTTAAAAGAAGATTTCCTCCCCTTTCTTTTGTGAAATCTCTTCATATATATAGAAATGTGTGTGTATAATGTCGTGTGTGTGTGTCCAAGATCATGTGTGTGTGCATGTAAGAACGTGAGTGAAAATGGGGGAGTGGGGAAGGACGTGAGGAGTATTTTGGGGAAAATGGGGTTATGGGCCTTTTTTTTTAATGTAAAATCAGATTTTTAATAAAAATTTGATAACAAATTAATCACTTTAACGTGATCTTAGCTCATTCTTTTTAAATAAAAATTTGATAACAAACTTAATCACTTTAACGTGATTTTAGCTCATTTTGAATTTAGTTTTTTTGGTCTTTTATTTTAAAAGATAATTAAATTATGAAGATAAGAAGAATAACCATTATTTCTTACAATATATGAAAACTAAATATCTACATGTACTGTAAATGATACTAAGAAAGATTCTTTGTGCTCTAAGAATGAGAGTTTTTTTGTAGTTTTTTTTTTTTTAAATAAAACCTATTAAGAATAAGATAAATATTAAGATTAAACCTAAAAGAAATATTTACACTAAATAGTATAAAATTTAAGTGTGGTCAAAAATTAGTTGTTCACAACAAGGGTAAATAGTTTTGTTTTTTTGGGTAACTGTGTCATTCTCCCCTTTTTTTTTTTTTGCTTTTATTTACAACCCGATAGATGATTTAATAAGCTAATATTTTCTCTATGTTTAATAATAAATGTAACCAACATGTTAATTAATCAATTATGATAAATTGGATCAAATTCTATTTTTTCCCCATATGGCCTCACCACGGTATGAGCTAAAATCACTTATTTTGCCTTTTTTACCCCGTAATTCTAGGGAAGGTGGATGTCAAAAGATATGAGATATCCCCCCTATTTGTACATATGACCTTCCACAGTATTCTACATGCATCTGTATTGGTCTAAATTTGGCGACTAGGCAGTAAGGGATAAGCGAGATCAAGGACGGGATCGACCGCGGTGTAATAACTAAAGGCTTCTCACGAGAGGTATGATGCCAAAGATAGACAGCTAAGATGAAGAAATACCGGTACTATAGGTTTAGATATGGATACAAGGAATATTCCTTTGGATATTCCTTAATTTGTACTTTTTAAGATTTTTGGGAAATATCCCCTATAAATAGGAGGAGATAGAGAACAAAAAGGGGATCTTCACTTTATGAGAAAAAGAGATTGTAAAAGGTTGACCTGAGAGAATACACTACAGTTGTCTTGTTCATTGATTATTCAAGCATACGCTTTTGCTTCTTTACTCATAAGATCCAAAGATTCCTCAACCCTCTTAATTACTCTTTTATCCACGTTACTGTCAGGGAAAAGAGTCATCCAAGTCTTACAATAATTGGGTGGTAGATTCCTTTTTGTTATATTCATTGTCATTATCTACATTTAATGCATATATCTTATTGCATTCATGAGCGTTTAATCAGCGCAAACACACTGATTAACATTGTTCATCTTACCGGCTTCACATACTATTTGGTCTAGATTTTATTATTCTTAACTAAGAGTAGAAACTGGCAAAGAAGATCAAAGAAGAATAGTGCTCATGCAAGGTAAAGGATGGTGAAAACCTCTGAAAAATAAAACCCCCGTCTATTTATAGGGCTGGGTGGTGCGAGAATCGAAGCAAAGGATTGTTAATGGCACCAAAACCAAAGCGGCAGGCACACAGACGTTGTCTCAAGAAGATGCACAATGATGACGCGCGTGGCCATGACGTCACCCCCTGGTAGCCACACCAATCACGACTTCAATGGTTGCGCCGTTCTCTCCACCTCGACCGACCCGACTTATTCAACACAACCAATTTTTTCCAAAATAGAGGCCAATCAGGTCCGCTTATCAAGGGCGTGCAGGACCACGACCTCAACAAGCGAAGGGACTAACTGTATTGGTCTAAATTTGGTGACTAGGCAGTAAGGGATAAGCGAGATCAAGGACGGGGTCGAACGCGGTGTAATAACTAAAGGCTGCTCTCGAGAGGGTCGATGCCAAAGACGGGCATCTGAGATGAAGAAATAACAGTAGCATAGGTTTAGATATGGATACAAGGAATATTCCTTTGGATATTCCGTAATTTGTACTTTTTAGGGTTATTGGAAAATATCCCCTATAAATAGGAGGAGATAGAGAACAAAAAGGGGATCTTCACTTTATGAGAAAATACTGTAAAAGGTGACCTGAGAGAATACACTAGGGTTGCCTTGTTCATTGATTATTCAAGCATACGTTTTTGCTTCTTTACTCACAAGATCCAAAGATTCCTCAACACTCTTTGTTACTCTTTTCTCCACACTACTATCAGGGAAAAGAGTCATCCAAGTCTTACAATAATTGGGTGGTAGATTCCTTTTGTTATATTCATTGTCATTATCTACATTTAATGCACATTTATGTTATTGCATTCATGAGCGTTTAATCAGCGCAAACACACAATTAACGATGTTCATCTTACCAGCTTCACATATTATTTGTCTAGATTTTATTATTCTTAACTAAGATTCACCCACTTTTTGGTCAAACAGTATCTATAAGATCAAGCAAGAAATTCTATTTAGTCAACTTATGCTCTTGAAGACTACACTACTAAGCCTTTCTCAGTTTTACGAAGAGACTTAAATTCTGGCGAAAATGATCATAACAGTAGTATTTTGTGAAGACAATGATAGTAATATTTTGTGAATTGTGAAGGCAATGATGCATCCATTCTTTTATAGTAATTATGCGCCACAGAGAGATACAAATACTCTGCAGTCTGCACAGCCTTGCAGATATCCTCTAAATCGTGATTATAAGTGTTTATATAGCTTCTTAAATGAAGCAAGCCCTCGTGCCTAAATATACCAAAAATGCAATGATCAGCCAAGAAATAAAACGGCAATAGATCTGAAACGGCAGCTTCAGATGCAACACATCAGGCATAACTTGGCTTAAAGTTTCACTTGAAAGTCTCGTGTCTCGTTCCCTGTTAAGTAACAATTCCTTTTTATCCAAGTAAGAATATTTTTCACAACGGTGGTGTTCCAAGCAATTGCATTCACCTCGACTATTCTTCCGGGTTCCTGCTACTTCCAACTCGTAGAGATAACGAAGAACTCCGTCCACCGCGGCTTAGAAAGATGGAACACCTCGTTTGTTCCATTAAGTACCTGCTACTTCAAATCAGCACAAATACTAGATAACTCTGCCCACCAATACTTATACAAAGGAAAAAAAATATCACCTAACTTCCATTAATTAAGTCCTTTCAAGGCGTAGAATATTTCTTAGAAACAAAATTAACAACACATTCTAAAGTCACCTAGTGCCGAGGAAGGTAAGAAGCATATTCCTCTGCGGCAACATTTCCCGCAGCTTTACCAAGAGTATAATAGATTGCTGATGTGATTTCTGGGATGACCAGCATCCTCAAGAAAGGTTCCAACAACCAACAGCAGATCTCATCTTCCATCAATTTACTGAAACCAAATCATGCAGTCAAAGCATAATTAGCACATAGAACATCAATTTACACAAATTTATGCAAGGAGGCAGTTAACAACATATCCTTCCACCATATGACTGAGATTGACTTCCCTTTAAATGAAACAGACAGTAATTGAGAGTGGAGTCTTAACACCATAATCTAAACCTACACAACCAACTACATCTGCAACCTACATAGAAAAAAGCAGACCTAAACCACAAACTATGACTAAGAACTGGACAACATAGCAACCTAGAAACAATACCTATGACCTTTTCAAGCTTCTCGAAAAGAGATTTCCTCAGATTAGAAAATGATCTTGTTAATAATTCCCTGATTAAGTGCGAGCCCAGTGACCTGACAATCAGGTGCGTGCTCTCTTGTTGCTGCAGGCGGGGCATTTGTACTGCTTGATATGTTCAGCCCTAGCTGGAGTGATCTTAACGCATTTCCCGTGGAACCATTTCTCACATATGTCGCAGCAGATCCAGAACTCATCAGATGCATAGTTCTCACCACATGCACCACATAGTGTTTCTCCTTGCTCGTCATCTTCCTCCTCTTCCAAACCATCTTCATCCTCATCTTTCGGTTGTGGCCTTGAGTACTTGGGTGGCAGTTCAGAGCCACGCTGTGCCACCTACGAGCAGAATCAGATTATGTAAAATAGGCAAAGTTAACAATAAATCCACAAACAATTCTTAGAATTCATACCAGTGACAACAGTATAAGCAAGTGTCAAAGGACAACAAGTACCAAAGGGGGGGGGGGGGGGGGGTCAGGACGAGAGAGAGAGAGAGAGAGAGACGACTATAACTC